GAGGCGGAGAGGCCATCGCGCCTGCGCCCCGCCATCCGGAGCTCCCCGTGTGGTGCCCGACGGCCCTCGCGGATAGTGACCACCTCCCAGTCCGCGCGGCCCCGCCCGGCGTTCGGCTGCGCTGGAGTCTTGCCCTCCCTTTCCCCGGGACCCCGCCTTCGGGGAGTTTCTACTGCGCTTGCTGTCCCAGGTGTGCAGGGAGGATACGCGGGACGAGTCACCTGTTGGCCTGCGCGGAGTCCTGCAGGCCTCCCGGAGGGTGCCCGTACGCTGAGATCGACCAGGCCAGACTGACTGGCGCACTGAGAAGAGTGGTAGAATTGAATGCCCCCTTGGAGGACCGGCCAAGGCTCAGAGTACCATGATTGTTTTCAGGCCCTTAGGACAAGGCATCTCCAATAATGGATTTGAGATCTTACTGTCACTTTCTCTCAGTCTAACTTCTGGGAAGGCTTGGATTGGGAACTGTAAAATATAAAAAGGCTCAAGAGCAGAAACATCAGGACTTTTATTTAAACAGAGAATAGCCGTTTTTTAGTGAGAGTAAGTGAACACCATAAAAGAAAACAATCCTACATACATTGCTATATGAGGCATTCTAGCTGGAATTAGGAAAACAGACTTGAACAAAGTTTTCTTAGCCTGAGATAAGCTCATTAGTATAAATATAAAGTAGTAACTTTAAAGGCAGCGTTTCTCAACTAGCACTGTTGACATTTAGAATTGATAGTTCTTGCGGGAGGTTATCAGGTACATTTATAAGATAATAAAGCTCATCACTGACCTCTACTCTCGCTAGATACAGTGGGACCACCTCCTCCATAATCCTGACAGTTGGAAGTGTTTTCAGATATAGCCAAATAGCTGGGGGTAAGGGAGCAGTTAAGAATCACACTGCGTTAAAAATAAAGCCGAAACTGTCCTTTGGTCTCAGTTTTACCCAAGGTACCAGAAATACCTTGATTTTCATCAGCCTTTGACAGATATCATTTATAACTGTTGCCTAAATCTGTCAGACCCAAACTGATAGTTTTGCAAATGTTACTCCATTCCAATGATGTGTAAATATGTACATGTGCTGATTTGTGCTAATAAGAGAAACATACCTCCTCTAGACTGACTGATTACAGATGGGAACCTAATCTGAGTCGACTAATTATAAAAATGTTCTTTCCAGGGCCAGGGATGTAGCTCAGTAGCACAGCGTTTGCCTGGCAAGCGGGAAGTACTGAGTTGGATCCCTGGTACCAAAACAAAAAATTCTTTCTCTTTCCACCCCACTGAAGCTTTCTGGAACACAACAGGTTAGAGATTATAGATTAGCCCGGGCTTCAGAACTCAACTACTTTTTCATTTCTACAATTTTCTATCGTGGTTCTGAATTTCAACTTAGTGTTTTTTACGTAAGTTTTTTACTTCTGGTCAGGAAACAAATTGTCCTGTCAACTGTGCTTCTTGAGATTGGCCTTTACCTGCCTAACTTAATGGTGCAGTCTCTTTACTAATGGTGCATTAATAAAATAGCTATTTGATGGGAACGTTCACATTTATAAAGGCCCAGCAGTATTCCAAGCAATGTGTCATTGTATTACTAGAAAAGGAACATTAGTATTCATTTTATTGATAAATTACACTTCTAAAGAGTCCAACTATTACAGTAATATTTGGAGTAACTTTTGTAAATTTTCAGGAAGGCATCAGTGCATACGATATTCTAATAACAGGTAGAATAAAACTAATTGATAAAATCACTTTATGGATAAAATGCTCAGAATGACCTCATAGAGGATTCTCAGGAGTTTGCTAATTAAAATTTAAGCTCTTGCTTTCAGAATTTTAATTCCAAGCAATTCAAGAAATTAGATTATGCAGTATTGTTTAATATGTTAATATACTGCAGAAACAAACCCAGAAATCTCAGTGGATTAGCAAAACAAAGACTTGACTCTCATTCTCTCTAGTGAAAAGCAACATCTGACAAGCTGATCACACCTTTTATTCTGAGCCATAATCTTCACTTCATCTCTCGGACATTACTCTCTCGTATTTCTTTTTCCACGTCATTTTCACACTCTTGCCCTATGTTTTCCTTATTCCCTGAACCTCTGAATATTTAAGTACAGCAAGGCTCAGTCCTCACACCTATTCACTTAAGGCCTTTGGCTTTACCATCTCTATACCTTTCACAATGATATCATCCAGGCTCTCAGCCTGAGCTCCAGACTTCATTGCCTCCTCACCTCTCTGCTTGGATAGCTCATATCTGATATTCAACATGACCAAACACAATTTGTGGTTTTCCCCCATTACTGAAAAGTCTCATTCTGCTATTAACTTCTAAGCAAATGGCAGTCTCATTTTAGTCACTGAGTAGGATAGCCAAGGCTTTAATCTGTTAATTTTCTCCTTTTTCTAACTCACGTCCAGTCTTATTAGCAAGACCAACTCCTGTCATCCACACCAGTGCTGCAACCTGAGACCTTCATTTGACTGCTACTCATCTTAAATGGTGTCCACTATTTGACTTTTGTACCCCTATTTACTTCATTTACTACATTTACATTGGCTTTTGCGCTACATTTACCATATGACAGAGCAGTAACATAGTTTTACACTATGTCACAGCACTCATCAAAATTCTCTAGTTTACAAAACAAACCTCAAGAAATCCATATGTTGAAATTAAGACAACAGAACCTTAAAAGAATTTACTATAAGTATAATTTAAGAACTTAAAGGAAAGGGTAGTCATGAGAGAGCAGACATGATTATCAACAGAACTAGAAATGACAATAATCAAATGCATCTTATAAAACTGGAACATACAGGTTGCAGAAAAATGATTAGTAAAATTATAAACAGATTAATACAAATTGTCTAATGTAAGGAACAGACTGAAAGTATGAAGACAAATTTAGTATTGTGTAGGACTCCCAAATAATCTAACCTATGTGTGATTGGAGTTCAAGAGGGACAAGCAAGACAGAGTGGGGCAGAAGGAAAATTTGAAGACATAATAGCAAAAAAATAGCATTTCTTATGAAGTCTTCAGCATTCTAATTCTTATCTCAGAATTTGCTTTCCAGGGAAACAAACCTGTGAAGTTTGGTGCCAGGAATGACCAAAGAAACCCAAGGGGATGAAATTTTAGAGTGGAATCACTCACCATGAGGATCATAAGAAATACCTCGCCACCAGTACATAAACAGGCAATTGTTATCACTTTGACCAGTAGTAGACTGGGATTTAATACTAGTTTGAAGGGATGCTGTTGCTGTATCCAACAAAACAAAATATGGGAGAAATGCAAACTGTAACAGTAAAGGTAGTGAGGGTTGGTAATGATTTAATCCTAACACTCTGGGTGGCCAAGGCAGGAGGACCACAAGTTTGAGCCAAGCCTGGGCAATTTTGGGAGTTAGTGAAACTGTGTCTCAGAATAAAAAAGTATTGGGAAATGTAGTTCAGTGTGAAAGCCCTTAGTTCAATCTTTAGTACCACAAGGCAAGACAAAGAGCAAAGACAAGGAAAAGAAGGGGGTGGGGGCAGAGGACAGGAGGGAGGGGAATAAAAGAATTGAGTGACAATTGCAAAGCTTGACTGACATTTTAGAAAAAGATAACAAAAAGACAACTGGCAACTAAAAGCTAAGCATGTTCTGGCAGCATCGAAAGAGTCACTTCCTTCAGTGGGAAGACAAGAAAGCTGAGAACCTAGACCAGGATTTACTAATGAGAGTAGCAGAGTTCTAAAGAAGGGTAAAGTCTTTAAAAATACATATTTGCTCCTCCATGGTATGAGCCTTAGTTGAGAAATGAAATCATAAAACCTACTTTGGGGTTAGTGACTAGCATTTTCTCATTTCTTAAGAACAATATAGATATTTTTCTCCAGGAAGACATTAGCCCACCCATAATCTTTACCTACCTTTTCTCCTAGTACCTATGCATGGATAGGGTTAATTAACTACAGAATCTGTTCATAGATACACTGGGCATGATAAGAATGGAAGGGACTATATCACAAAGAAACTCTGGAATCTAATCAGTACACGCCAGCAGTAGCTAAGAGAGTATGTACGCTACATAATGTATGGAAACATGTCCATCAAAAGACTTACATATAAATACTCATGCATATAAATTCACAATATTTGAAACTGAAAATAACTCTAATATCCCTGAGACTCAATATATTCACATAACTAAATATTCACAGAACTAAAAAAGAATAAATATCCTGTGTATACAATAACATGGATAAATCCAAAAAAACTATAAAGTCGGCCACAAAACGTGGAAAATTCCATTCATATAAAGTTCAAGACAGACAAAAGGAAACTCGTGATAAAAATCAGAAAAATGATCACCTATAGGTTGGCTGAAATGATTGGAAGAGATCACAGAATGTTTTGTGATGGAAATATTTTATATTTCACTGTTGTACGTAAAATCAGTCAATTTTAATGTGTGTAAATTTTACCTTAAAAGTTCAATCCAATTTGTATGTGTCCAATTCTAAGTTTTACAATCACTTGGTACTCCAGCCCTCCTGAGGCTTGTTCTTCATTTTTGGTACTTGTCATTCTTTCTGCCTGAAAACACTCCTCTCCAAAATAGCCACACAGCTTTTACTTATTTAATTTAGCTCTATGTTAATCTGTTCCTCAAATCAAAGAGGTCTTCCTTAATTGTGTTACCTAAAAATACCAAATACTATAATTATAATCTATGCCTATTTTCTGTTTCATTTTTCTTCTCTTTCTTAGCATTGTTTTCACCATTTTTACATATTATGAAAGCAGAGATTTGTTCATTTGTTCACTGCTTGTCACAACCTCTGGAAACTGATGCTACCAATATGTGTTGAACAGTTGTTACACAGAATATATCTTCAATCTAGCTACATTAAAAAAATCAAAGTTATATTCAGCTAACATACTATTGTAAATGATTTTTTTGTCTACCTTGTAAATTAATCCTGGGATATCTGTTACTAAAGGATTACTGGATTTACCCACCAGGCTCCAAACCTGGTGGAGGTTTGTACCTCTGTTTGTATTTTCTGAAACTAAACTATAATAAGACACAAAAGAAAATCAAATACTGAAGCAGTTTGCTCATCCTTCTCCGAGGCGAATTCTGACAACATTCTTCAAAGAAAAGAAAGAATTTTATATATAGGTGGAGTGTGGTGCAACCCAGTGATTTAAAGAGCTACCAAACACATTTTAGAACCAGGAAAGACCTTATAAACATCTAATAGAGATTATATAGCAAAAAATTATTGCTAGGATGTTTATCATTATGCTATTATAATGCCTCTTGAAGCTCTTCACTTGATTTTTTGCCTATTCAGCTATGACTATCCCCATCATGTTATTCAAACTTGCATTAATATGAAAATGAAATGTTTTTTTCATCTATTTATTCAATAAATAAGTATGTGAACTAAAGATTCTGTGATGAACAAGAAGGATAATTCTCTTGCTCTTGTGGAGTTTACAGTCTCCTGGGCTGGTTAGACAATAAACATATAAACAAATAAATGAGATAACTCTAGTTATTGATAAGCCTAAGAAGAAAATTACATAGAGCACAGCTGAGAGGGATAAAAGTTGCAGGATAATTTAAATAGATGATCTATAATATACTTTCTTTAGCAGGCATTTCAAACTAAGATCTGAGTGGTAACAAAAGCATCCCAGAGAGGAAAGAACAAGTAGAGGATCTTAGTAACAAGGCCAGTGTGTTTGAGGAATGGTGTGGTTGTGGTTAGAACACAGTGATTTACATGAGGTGAGACTTAGAGAGATGAGCTACGGTCATATCCAGTAGAACTTTGAATGGTACCTAAAAGTTATTTTTATTCTGAATGGAATGATTTAATCAAGGAAATGACAGTAACCTAATTTATGATTGTAAAAGACTCGTCTTGCTACTCTGCAGAATTGCATGTAGGGGGTCAAAATAGAAGAAGGAAGACCAGCTTGGTCAGTTTTTACAGGTAAGACTAAATGGTATATTGTTGTAGAGCAGTGGCTCTTGACCTGTGGTGATTTTTACTCCAGAGCATATTTAGCATTGTCTGGAAACATTTTTGGTTGTCATAATTGGGAACAAGGGTGCTACTGGTATCTACTGTTTAAAGCCAGAGATAGTGCTAAAAACTCAACAATCCACAATACAGCTCCCTACAATGAAAACTGATTCCATCCAAAATATCAGTCGTCCCAAGGTTAAGGAACCCTGCTCCAGAAAATTAGTACTGTAAATGGAAATGGTAGATGAATGTATATTATATTAAAGGCAATAGCAAGGAAAGACTTTGTATAAATTAGATGTGGGAGATCAGGAAAAGGCAGAAATTCAAATTGACTTCTAGCTTTTGTGCTTGAGTATTGGGCAATGCCATAGTGCTATTTTTGAGACAAATAATAGGAGAGAAATATGATTGAAAACAATGACTTCTGTTTTGACCGTGTTAAGTTTGTGATGCTTATTAGGCATCAAATGTAGGTGGTAGTTGCATATATTAATCAGAATCTCATAGAAGAGAAGGTTCAATATATAAATATGAGAGACCCCCCACACAAAGAAGATATTTAAAATGTAAGAACAGATGAGATTCCCTGATGGAAGATAATAGGCAGTAGAAAATAGGGCCAATGATAGAGTTAAGGTTGAACAAAGGAGATGGATTAGAAATGAGACTGATAAGGAATGACATTCACTGAGGCAGGAGAAACACTGGACACCAAAATAATGGAATTTAAGAAAAAATAGCTTAATATTAAATTGAGACAAATGAAATTGCCTAAATAACTTTAGACTTACAAGAACATAAAATTTAGGTTTCAAACTATATGAAAGAAAAATAGACTATATTAAATATTTCTAAAAAGTCAAGTATAATGGAAATTAGTATACAGAATATGGTGACATAAAGTCTCTTGGTAACTTTGACAAGAGAAGTTCCAGTGAAATAGAAGGGATGCAAGCCTGGTCTTATTGAATTTAATGAGCAAATTGTTAGAACTGAGTCAGTCAGTTCTTTATATTAGAAGAACATGGGTTCAAACAAGTTTCTTGAAGACAGGAAATACTAGAAACATTAGATTCCATTTCAAGACTGGAGAGAATTAGCCAGAAGGAAAAGGAAGATTTTTGGTGTATTCAAAGAGAGGATAATTGAAACAGGAAAAGAATGAAATCCAGAGTGCAGAAGAG